AAAGAATGAGAATCCATGTGAATCAGTCTGAAGTGAGCGTGTGATGGACAATAGCTTTTCATGTAATCATAATCGATCTCATGAACAGTAAGAACAGTAAGAATGTCAGGAACAAATGGTTTTCCGTTTGTTCCTGACGTTATACGTAGAAATAGTATGTTCATGTATCAAGGGGGGGGGGAGGGTAACAGCGGCCTGCTAGATCGCCAAAAAGGGTAATGCAGCACCCGAACGTGAGAACCACTGGTATAGAGAGTATGTGATGAAAGCACAAAGAAAAGTAAAGAGGCAATCAACTTCATTCAATTGAAAAATCTAATATTCACTGCTGCCCTCTTAAGTTTCATGTTTTTTCCAGATATCATATGTAGTGATAGATTGATTGAAACTTGTCTTAGGTATCATCTGCATTAACATACTTCTCATATACACAATACCCTCTAAAATGTGTTTTGTTTGCTGCAGAAGAGGGACGTGTCAAGGACTGGAATGGTCATTCTGTGCAGAATGCACTGAATAAAGGCAAACTTCATGAATGCTACATAAAGTGATATTAGTGAACGGTTCATGAAACGCGGAATGATTTGTAGAAAATATCCACAAAATGGCATAAGCATTAGCTTTTGGATGATACAAGGTCCAATGGAAGTTGCACCTTTGAATCCGAGTGAATTCGTGCATTTCTTCATGGATTCTCAATGACAACTATAGTTCATTTCGATGATTGTACCAAATTCAAACAATACTTCTGCAGAATGATGTGTCAAAAGAGAATCTGACATAAATGAGCATTAACAAAAGTGNGTGAGCAAATATGAGATCACTAGCGCTGTGTGTTTTGATGTAAGTGCAGGTTGACCGATGGGATCACATTGGATAATAACTCGGCAACGTAAACACAAACGTGCGATTGTGCATGCAGCTCGCCAGATTTCATCAACAAAACAACAAGATCATCACACAAATGAACACTTTAGCTAACAAAAAGAACAAGGAGAGCCATGAGATTGTTTATTCAATTAATTAATGAACACGGAAGTGGTGCTTGATGAACATCGATCTTGTCATCATTATCACGTATGCAATTGCTGCTCAAACAAACTCAGAGCTTCATAAACGCACAACGAACAATATCCATTAGGCATTTCACCTCATCTTACAGCCAACCCAACACTAGTATGAATCACAAACTTACTCCAGCTTAAGATCAAATCTAACACATATTTTTATCCTGAAAAAATTATTTCATTCATTACGTGAGCTATGAGAGCAATGAGGTTGATGAACAGTTCCGTTCAGTTGACTAATAAGAGCCATTGAACATACTGACTTCAGAGCCGAGTTAATATATTCAACTGTAACAAATGCAAGGCCAGAACACAGCAGTTTGAGTTGAGTTCGTCATTGAGAAGCAACGGCTGAATGAGCATAAATTCACAATTCAAGTGAAATTCTGATGAAGGTGGCGAATGCAAAGGATGAGATAAGTTTGACGAGTACGGTGGTAAATAGGAGCGAATTGGATTCGATTGCAACTGATAATGGTTCGTGAAAAGGAAGGGAATCGTTGAATTAATGTATGAAATAAAGGAACGGAATTAATAATTCATTTCATTTGATCGAAAAGTGTTCATTATCGAAATAGATCTGTTCTTTTCAGATTGAACCTCATCTCGTTTCCTTATCGTCTTTGAAAGTCTTTTTTTTTTCAACGGGGCGATCGACAGTATGACTTTTATAAAGGAAACCGAACGGACGGACGTTTGCAAATGTGGAAAGATAATTATTCGCATCTTTTCTCAGCGGATTCATTAGAATACGGTGTGTGTGTGCGCGCATGTGCTGGGATTGATAATACCTTATCTATTTCAAAACATTCACTTGTCACGCACCATTACAATCATTTTCCTGGAATTAACTTCTTAGAATAAACTATTATTATTGCTGCTATTGCTGCTAATATTTTCACATCGAATTTGTACCAAACAGAATTCATTCATCTCTTTGCAAGAAAATGAGGGCAGATTCATTCATTAATTTCACAAATTCTTTTTTTAAAATTGCTACTTCATGACTTGCACACAACACATGAGAACATAATCTTAATGGAGTAGTGGCAAAAAAAGGATTCGAATATTATCACCTTAAATGAAACGTTTTTGAAGCACATTGATTAAAGAGCATACAGTTAGTTACTCAGCTATAGCGAGATAGGATAAGGAATGGAACGATTCTGTGCTGGCGCTAATGAGCTGGAAATGAGCTGGAAAAGAATGCTGGAAATCTTTTATAGTGCAATTGGCGTGTGTTAATGTGATTTCTGAATGCTAATCTTATTACTATAAACATGATATCATTTCATTAGATTGAACTGATAGCCATTACAATTTAATGTGTACCATTTATTGCCAGCGTGAATGAATGTCATTAGCGTAGGTTGTACTTATTAATAAATAGTGAGCGGCAATGAATTGGATTTAAACAATTGCGACCGAAGTGTCAATTGGCTTTTTAAGTCAAAAGTAAGTCATTTATAATGCTCATAATCACAGCGAGTCAATCGCATCATTACATACGCTCTGTGGTTAACCAATAGTTGATATGCATGTGCAGAATCAGCTCAAAACCATTACAATGCTCAAAACAAGATGAGATTCGCAACCAATTGTAAGCAGAAAAACGAGATTATGCGAATATATGTAAATCAAAATCAAGTGACGAGATTCGCAGTCAGGTTCAGTTTGAATCGGGTTCAGTGTTGTGCTTGTGCTTAAGTCTGCCTATGAATCTGGACTAACGAGATGAGTTTGAACAAGAGCAAAAATCTGGAATTCAGCTTAAAAATGAGCAAAAGCCTGACAACGAATGGTGTTCATTAAGGATGGCGATTAATGTAAAAGCGATATACCTCTCAGGGTGTGCATCAATAGAGTAAAGCATTGACTTCAGCTAACCGCTTTGTTGCCATAAAATTATGATTAGATGAAGAGATATAGCTGTTTTCACAATCCTATACGGGTTGCCATATTCAAGCCTACCGTACTCTCAAGTTTACCCAGTAACATATGAATTTCTTTGCATCATTCCATCCAGCGGAATCAGGCATTTAGAAAAATATATATTTTGCCGAGAGATTTCGCTTAGTTAAGGAGATATACCTATTTTCTTAAAGTCATCTCAATTAGTGCAGAGGCGCTCATTCATACACACTGTATCACTATAGATCAACTGTACACATTACTATAGCGCTATAGGTGTTACGATCTTAGAGGTACGGGTACTCTCAAGTTTGCCCGGTAACATATGGATTTCTTTGCACCATTCGATTGCTCAAAATCTCTACTTTAGGAATATTATAAACTTTGCCGAGAAATTATGGTCTCATGAAGAGATTTAGCTATTTTCTCAATCCTATACGGGTTGCCATATTCAAGCTTACCGTAATCTCATCGCTCATGTACTTCTGACTACTTCAAATAAATATATACATTACTGTAGCGTTATAGGCTTCACCATCTTCAAGTTACCGTACCTTGAAGATGGTAACCTCCATGGAGCCATAGTACCGTATTGATATTGATTTATAGTGATAGAATGCATATGAATAATTGGAATCTCACCTTATCTTGGGATTCATTCCCTTCATCCTTGTCTCTCTTGGGAATTTTCACTTCTCGGGAGTTTCCCTTCCCCATGGGAAACCGTTCTGTTGCACGGAAATCGCCTTTCAACTCTCCTCTCTGTGCACCAAATAGTCATGCACAATACGTGTAAAACAGCGACAGAGCGATTATATACACACTTGATGCTGTTTGAGCTATCGCAAGGCAAATTCAAATTTTGAATGTGATTCGGTTCATAGCACTGGGATTAGCCAAGATTAGAAAGTGTTTATGATGGAGTTTCGAGTTTAGCTGGGCGAGGCATTCGGGAGAAATTCAAAGCTGCATTTCAGAAATTATTAATGTTCATTTTTATCATCTACCATTTCCTCTGAGTGTTCTTAAGTGCAAATATCACAATTGCATCATACGTATCTGCTCGGAATAACTCTTTATTTATACGATAAAAATCTCACTTTACTGGAATCGTAACAAAAAGCATCTTTGATGATTGATTCAATGTCATATTATGATTTTATGAGAGCGTATTGATCAAGTGATAAATCAACGATCATTTCAGTTCATCCAACAACTAAACCAAACTGATCTCATTCCCGATGGCTCAAAATTTCATCGAAACATTTCTTAAATCAACTGATGAACAACGTATCTCAATGTATCCGCAGTTATTCCCTTCGTAAGTTTAATTATCAATTAAACTTTGTTAAATTTACAGTTTGAGTTACTTGTGTAAATTACAATCCATACGTGTACCGCTCATAATATTCAAAATTTTTATGTGATAAATATCTTTCTTAACTGGTTAAGTAGTCCTTCATGTCTGACGAAAGTTTCAATTTACCCTCAACTGAGGTCAGATTTATTGAGAATCCATAAATGACATTCAATTTGTGATCACTTATTTATGCATGTTTTGGAATTGTTCAAGTTCTGTTTACTAAGATTTGGGACTGATTCTTTGGATTTTGGATTTTACTGCTTAATTAGGCGTTTCATATTTGTGAGATCATAAGTATGAGTTTGATCTCGGAATTCACGCATAAATTGTATAATTGCGCGCAAAATTTTTTTTGTTGAAAATTTTGATCTACCATTCGATCGAATCGGTTTCATTGCGAGTTTGACAATGATCCATAGAATTCTGAATTTCATTGCACAATCAGACGGCTTAGGCTGCTGAAAAAGAACTGAACTGAACGGAATTGTGAAATTGTAGCCAACATTGCATATTCACCAAATATCTGACAACAGAATGAAATTGGTATCATTAATCTTATTATGGGTATTTTAAGGTTGAAGGGATGTGGATTTGGATCAGTTGGGAATATTGTGGAGCTTAGTATTGAGGATTGTACACTGGAGGAGAAACTGGCAGTTGAAGCGTTGAATTTTTTGAACGTACTGCTCAGTGATAGTGAAGTGAACAATGATATGAGATTACGCAAAGCCGTATTGGATGGAGCACAAAAAGCACTGAATTCAGAAACAACACGTGCAATATTCGTTGCGGGGAAGCAACCAGAATGGAAAGTGGATAGCATTCTGAAAGTTTGGAGTGTTCTTTTTCAAGCATTTCTTAAGGTGAATACATCCTCGTTATGCTGCTCTCTTGCCTTTAATATCACGTTCACAAATCACTTTTCGATTCATATCGTATTTGGAACAATTATTTGAATTGCATTTCGCAATACACAATATGAGAAATTGTTCTGTGAACGCAATGTGAGCTCTCATCACTGTATAATGTTCAATAAGTCAAAACCTGGGCGTTGATCGAAGTAAACCATCGAAATTTTCGACACGTGAAAATCTAACTAATGACTAATGTTCGAGGCTGTTGCACCTCGTGGACATGTGGAAACTGTCATGGTTGGTATTGGAGTGTTGAGTTATAGGTGATTTTGGAACGTTATGCTCAGAATTTTTTGTTTTGCACATGTGATTGTATATGCATCTCAAATTAACAGTAGTGGCACAAATTTGATGAATCTCTTACGAAGGTTCCTTCATAAGAAGCGTTGATTTGGTTCGGCGTTTCTGGATATTATTTTAAAGCCAAGTTCAGAAAGAATCAATTTTGAGTAATTGAAAAGTTTCTTCATAGAGTATTGAAGTTGGGGGATGAATGCCGCACTGATCAGCATATTAATTCAAAAAAGTGAAATTAATTCAAGGGCAAGAATATTAAAGAGCATCGAGTTGTACTGAATCTATTCTGCCCTCCACTGCGGGCAGCTATCGTATCAACGGATCAGTACGTTGCTCAGGTTGCATTAAGTGTATGGCGATCGCTAACTGAGACTTTGCTCGATTCAGTTGCACACTCCACAAAAACCGTTTGCAATGGTTAGCAGTTTTTGGATCGAATCGTGTTTTTGATTGTTTTTTGTTTGTTCAGCACTCATTTGTAATCAGCCAGTTGATTGTCATCAAGAATTCGCAAATATTTCGGCGAAAAATTACGCAAAGTGAGAACAATTCGCACATATCCTTCCCAATTGTACATCTTTGTAACCATGTTTTTGATGTTTAGAAGCGAATCTTATTGTCATATTGGAGTTCTTATTGAAACCACTCAAATACCTTCCCGATTCGTATACAACAATGAAGTTCGAAATTTGGTTGCACCTGGCCATTGCTCTAAGTCAGTGTTCGTCATATTCATTCACTCGAACCACCTTCGAATTGGTAATTTTTCATTTTGTGATAATCAAGTTATCTTCACTTTAATATCGTGTTCCAGTTGTAGCATCCATCTCCGAGATTTCAGGTATTGATGGGTTTGATGCGGATGTCAATAGGAGGATCGCTTAAAACAGTCGAGTCAGAGTCAGTTAAGGATTCGTTGATTTGTGAAGCGGTGAGCAGCGATAGTGTAATGGTGGTTGAAAAGTCAGTCAGTTTGTTTAGTAATTTGTGATTGAATAACCTGGAAATGCTTTTCCCATTAATATTGTCCAATTAATGACTGATTTTGCTTGTTCATCTTGAAAAAATCAAGTTCATCTACCAATATCAACTTAGAGACGTGCGCCATAATCGCTCTCGTATCGTTTACTGGTTCCAGACAACTCGCTAAAATAGAAATATTTCATTGAGAACATTGATATGTATTCGTGGAAACCTAATCGTAAGAAAGACTGTCATCATTGGATTGGTAAAGTGATGCATAATTTTTTGTTGTCACATACGCAGTAAATAAATGCTCTGTTCAGATGCATATCGCGATGTGCACAAGGGTGGATGGAGCGAAGAATGAATCGACACGATTGTTTGGTCGAAAAAGGAATCTTACTCATTGCATCACTTCTCGACGTTGAAATTCCTGATAATCCATGTGAGTGAATCGTTCTGTTTAGCGTTTTTCCATATCCGTTATGTTAACGCTAAACAGAAGTTCTCATAAGCAAACTTCATTTTTATTAATGATTTGTGAATATCTGGATAGAAGAAGTTTATCCACGGTAAGAATGAACAATTGCATTAACATGAATGAAATGGAATCGTTTTTTTTTTGCATAACAATATGGCTGAGCATGTGCGATTATATTGTTATTGGTGTTTTGCAGTCGAATCACTGTCCTCAGCACAAATGCATTTTATACCATCATTGTTGATCTCAGCTTGCATTCGAGTGTATTCGTTCTGTTTGGCAAAAAACTCGGAAGGTATTTGATTTATGTGCTTATAGAATTTCACTTAACTTTTCGTTTGCAATTCAGTGAGTATTCTAATCGAGTACTGGATTTACTCCATCGATCATATGTCGTCGACGAATCAAATGAAATTGAAATGTTTGGTTTAGATAGTAACGTATTTGGAGAGTAGATTTGAACAGATAATTATTTGTGTTGATCCAAATATAGACGAACTGTCAAACTACTCGCGTTGGTGCATTTCGACTATCTTTTGCAGCATTTGTCGATTGATGAAATATTTTTGAATTGTTGAAATTCTGAAAATTGATCCAACAAATGCATGTTTTGGTAAAATTGTCCAATTTCAGCATTAGCAAGAGTGCATTTACAACTCGAGAGTGTTTGGGCGGCACTCACCGGTGCAATTGTGTTGAAGCACAGCGATACATCAGAGCGAACTTCGCACTTACGACATGTGATAAGCAGTTATATCGCGTGGATTAGTGAATGTCAACTACCGAATGAGTCTATCATTGTAACGTTTTATGCAGATTTTAGACGAACTCTTAACGATAACAGTTGAAATATTAATGTGTAAGAACCGATACGTTTTGATTGAGTGGTGATTTTAAATCCGAATTAGAATTTGCTTGATAGTTCTTTGTTCATTGTAAAAGCTAGATGCAAGTCTGCGAATGTGTAATGTGAACTGATTGGTTTCACTAGCAGCTGATTCACTGATTTGATATTGTGATCTGCGAAGACGTTTATTTTTTTGTAATCATCAGCTATAATGCAGTACGAATACTAATTCGAAATGTGATAATAATTGAGAGTATTTTGCAGAGGTCATATTCGTTGTTGTGCAATAGAGCACATTTCCTGAATCTGTCACCCGGTTTCACAGTGTCCGATGTGTTCGTGGCACTCTTTCGCAAAGTTTCTTTCAACGTGAACTCGACTCTGTAAGAGTTTTCTTTCATTTCTTTTATATCATTTATTTGTATTTAAAAACGTGAGATTATCTATAGATTTAGTTAAGTTAGTTAAGTAAAGATTGATTTTGGTGTTGGATAATCAAATTGAGAATTATGCAAAGAGAAGAGCTCAATTCAGATTTTGTAATATTTGGTTATATGTTAATGGTAGTATATGCATTGGTATTGTGAGTTTATTTAACTCAAATGTTGAAGATATGCCTTAAGAATGGAGTTTTTATTTGTTTTATTTACAAGTCTTAAAAGGAGATAGCATTTATGCCCGTATATGAATCACATACGAGTAACAAAAAGTTACGAAATCTTGATCTCGAAAACTGGATGATGAATGCTGACTTTGATTTTTTTTTGTATAATTGCAACTGACTTTATTTTATTTTCAGACTGCGACAAATAAGTGAATTGACTATATCGAAACTGATGGCATGCAAGAGTGTTATTCGCCTCGATCTCTTCAGATGTATCATTTTCGGATGTCTACCGCAGAATCCAGCTGAAAAGCATAATTGTAACGCAATTCCGGTCCTATGGGACGCTCTCGCGAAAGCCCTCATCACTCACATTAGCGAGGTACTGTATCACTCCATTTGATTTCATCCTTTTTTTGAAATATTTTCAAAATTTTCTCAATTATTTTATATTTGTTTATATATAATCAGTGAAATAAAATCAGTGGTTTATTGGGTTTATCAAATTCGTGTTCATTTTTGTGATTGTCACGAGTATTTATGTTATTTCAATTCTTTTCATTACATCAGCTGGTTTCAATGTATCGTTTAAAAAATTGTGGAGTCGTTATGTCGTTAGATTTGGAAAATATTCATTCATTTTTATGATTCTCGTTTGGAAATGTCAAAATAGAGAGAATGAAATTTAGACTGAAGAACTGAATGAAGGAACATCGAGGAATGTTGACTATAGCACTGTTGATCGAATACTGCTGTGCCCTGTGGATGCGCACTGCTGCAGTGGACATTTCTTGAGAAATGTTCGTCATTCTTTTGTTATTATTATGATTGTTTCGATAGTTCTTAGAATATTTGTGTTATGCGTTATTCAAGCTGAACATTCGAACGGTCAACTGCAACGTTTCCAGACGGCTGAAGGTCACTTTAAGGGTTTCAGTCACGTTCGCTAGCTGGAAACCTTGATTTTTAGAAAAATTAAGTGAGTGGCAAGATATAGCGTGACTGTAGAGTAGAGAACGGAAGAGGAGACCTCGTGCGATTGAAATCTTTTGAAGAGATGACTTGATCGTTTAGTGCGCGATTGTTGTCGTCGTTGTTTAGCGATCAGTTGATGTGGTCAATTTCAGAATTCAAGCGCTCAATTCCAAAGCACATGGCAAACGTTATATTCGAGTGTGCAGACAATTCGTGCACGAGAAATAAACTCCAATTGCTTCTCGTACGCTCTGAAAACATTTCACAAATTGATTGAAATCTCTGCTCAAATTCAACAGTTCCCCGATGAGAACGTGTGTTATTTTTATTTGTTTTGTTATAACATTCAGCAAACGTGTGTTATAACATTCTGATTCAGCAAACTCGGTAAATGATACCGATCATATGAGTTAAATTGCTGATTCTTTGGTTTTGCATTTGAAAAACCGAAATTTGAAATCATTTGCGATCAGTAGTGAGTTATGTTCACGTATGCGTGTGAGTGAGTTCATTTCATTGAACAATTATTTTGAGGAATTCTTTTTTTTGTTTTTGTTTTATATGAGAAAACTGAGTGTAATTGAACATGGTAATTGTACAGACAGAAGACTGTTCCAATGAGGTATTCAGTAATAAATAATATTTTGAAGCGTCGAAGAGAGAGTTGCGCTATGGTGTCGCATATACTGCTAGCGGTCGTGGAGAAATTTCCATTCAGTGCACTCGGTGTATCTATTTTCGAAGGTTTTTACCAATTGAATTTTATTCGTTCCATCTTCATTTTTTTACTTATTATGTCTGATGAATGTAATTGTAAATGAATTCGTGAAATTACGATGTTTATGCTAAATTTTCAGTGAACATTTGAGATTAATCATTTTCAAGTTTGACAATTTCGTTTTTTGAGAATTTCTGATGTGGACATATCATGAATGTTATATTATGCGTTGATCGTACAGATTGTTTATCTTACATCAATTTGCAGCTGGCACTGGCGATCCAATTGAAGTGTTGTGTAAGGCGATCTCGGCGTTCGGTGATTCCCTTCTGAACGTGATCGATTCAAAAGTAATTGAATCTTTTTAGCTGAATGTTTTTTCTCGTCACAAACCGTAAGATAAACTTCAACTGACAATCGAGATTCAATTGTTTTAATTGCGATAATTTGATGTGAGATAGCGTTGTTGATGAAGCGAGTGAATCGATGAATGAAGACACTTTCATAAATTTTTACAGGGTTTCGATGGCCTGAACGCAAGTGAATTGGATGACCATTGCGCGTCGATTGACCATCTTCTGGTGGCACTGAACTGCGCATTCAGCGCTCTCGCACCGACCCTCTATCACGTTACGATAGTGACGAATCTCGCTCCGTTCCTTGCACACCTCATTCAGATCTCTACCGATTGTCGGTTCGAAGCAATATTCAAGCGTTCAGGCGTGAAGGTAATCATTAACCGCATTCGTTTCTGCCTCATCAATCTGTTACACATTTGCCAGGACTAGGCCTGATTTTTCTTTTTGAAACAACTCCGTTTCTCGTTTTGTTAATTTCTATCAGTGTAATATGTGAAATGATTAATGAGATATTTTAGGTTTGCAGTTCATTCGTTCATTATTGTTCACTTGAAACGATATGTGATTTGAGTGAGCGAATGTATAATATCATCAATTTTCAGGTTCATCGTTTACTGAAGATCAGTTTCAAGTCGATCAAAGAGCACTACTCAGGTCCGTACTGTTCTGAGATGCTCTCCAAGTTCGAGCCACTCTTCATTAGTGCACTGGGGTGTGCGAATTACAGTATTCGATCGTGTGTCGTCACTTTTTGGCGAGAAACATTTGCGAACACATCGCAACTTCACGGTTCATCGCAGATGAGGTTCGATTGTTTGTGCATTTTTTCGTTACGAATCCATTGGCCTCGTTTTTTTTGTTATCGTTTTGAGACGTTGGTGCGTCGTTTGCTCTTGAGGAAAACTTTTCACGGTGAACTTACAATTAGATTCAAGCTCATCGGATACTGCATGGTGTGGTAGGACATGGATTTTTTTAAATTTGATACGTATAAAGTTGGTGTAGTCGTTATTTTCAAAGAATAATTCGTGTGATTATTTCTTGATTATTGCGTTGAAATTTCAGAGAAGCGCTCATGTCAGTGAAGTCTAGACAGCGTCTAACGTTGCCAATCGTTTCGCATGACAACAATACTTTCACTTGTAATAACCAAGACTCAACTGTATCTCATCCATTCAATCAAGCACCTCACAGTAACAATAACTCCACTAATAATCTATCTCAGTCTCAGGTTTGTTCATTTGAATAGTAATGGTAGTAATAACCATAATCATACTGATCGAATTAACATTCATATGTCTGCAATAATAATTAGCATAATTTGTCAGCAGTAACAGTAATTAGTGTCTGTTCACGATGGAAACAACGAAAGCTTTCATCGGATGGAAGCGATCTAAGATGAACCAAACTACTAAATGTCTTTTTGTTTTGATTGAATTATGCTGAAACAATGAAATGTGATGAAGATGGCAATGAATTTGATGTAATGATTTGAATTTGAAGGAGAATGTGCCAATCGCTACACCGTTAACTCCGATAAGACACGATGAGAATGCCGAACGCAAAACGCCAGTCAGATCGTCGTCTCGTAAAAAGCGCTGTTTAGATGCGGTCAATGACGAGAGTCAGTTCGAAGTCATTGAGCCACACACACCAACTCGAAAAATGCGGCTTACTGAACGTCAGAAAGAGAAACTTAGTGAGAAGAGGTCTGTCTGCTCTGCGTTTGCCATGTTTTTGATTGTATCTGTCGGGATAGAATGGAAGAAATTGTTATTTCTGGAAGAAAATTTCGTAATTGCTTTATTGACTTTTGACTTAGTAAAGTCCGGATATTCGAAATAGCGACGATGCCACAAGACCTACGGTATCGGTGGTTCTATTTAATCTGGCGGCATTTTAACAACACGAAACATTGCTTAGATGTTAAGAACGATTGTTGGGTTACAACATTTGTCGTGTCGTGTAAATTTTCTAATTATGAGGGGATTTAAATGCAGTTTTTATGTCATGTCAGAAAAAAATGGGTAGATGAGGAAAACGAAATTCGGAGAATTTNGTTACTAGGCATAGAACAATTTTCAGTTCGTCGTTATCCTCACTCAATTCGCAGCAGAATCCTCAATCGCAGTCCCAGTCTACGCAACCGATCAGGTGTGTGTGTGTGTGTTTGTGTGCTGCATTCTGATTCGCTGATCATCAAGAACCGTTTTTATTCTATCTTTCTTTATGATATTCTTAAATTTTGTCAGTAGTTAATGAAAATTCGTCTAAAAGAATGAATTTGACAGTAAATCTTCAGACAAAACTCTTCGATTGAATGTGTTTTTGAGTAAGAGAAAGTAGTGGATGTGTCACATTTCAGTGGAAATAGCGATAGAGCTGAGAAAAAGGTTGATGAAGAAGGCAAAGATGGTTTCGTGACTAGTGAAATAATGGAAGAAACTCCACCGCGAGAACTAGCGCAATCGCCCAACAAAACAGCTCAGCGTTTGTGCAGAAATGCAGACATACGCAACTATCTGTCACCGTCTGGTGCAGTGCAGAAGAGTCCACAGAAGAGTGTAAGCGTTGAGAAATCCTCCCAAGCATCCACCTCTCCATCGACATCAACCACCAAACGCACCTCAACGATCGACATTCAACGTTCACCCATCAATAAAGCACCGAAAACTTCATGCAATTCCACAACAAGAAACGTGCATTCATTTTTATCATTCATTCATTTGCTTTTTTATTTCATTTGGTCTATCAAAATATTTGAGTCATTTTGAGTATCGATCGAGATTTTGAGTTTTCTTTTTTAGTTTCAAATTTGCTGCACTAAAATAGCTATTTTGAAATGGTCACTAATTGTAAGTAGTCTGTCGCCACCGTATGAGAAATTATTCATTAAATTTTTCAATGTCATTTAAGCATCTCATTAATTTTCTGCATTACTTGTTTTCATGAGGGAATGTGTTTTTAGAAAGGCGATACATCTGCATCGTCAAATGCGCCCAAACGGCGATCTTCAACTCGTCTTCGAGTGAGAGGTCTTAGTCAGCAAAAGGTTCCGTTCTTGCTGGTTGTTTGTAGTCATGAATGCGGCAGGAAGCTGGATTGATTCCTTTTTCAGTTTATGAAATGAACAATGAGTATGGTTTTGAAGAAATCTCGATTGCAAAGAGACGAAATCAAGCGATTTTTTTGGGCTTTATTGGGCCCTATTAAACTCGTCGTTTATCTCATTTATGTGCATATTTATAGAAAAAAGAAACTGATGACGATGATGATGAAAGACAGGAATTAGTGGACTCAATTGAAATATTCTCACAATCCGATCCTCCTCCCTCTCAAGAGCAACACCAAACATGTTCGTCTGGTAAGGAGATTCATCTTTGTTTTTGTAGTTCCCTTTCAGAAATTCCGTATTTCATTGGCGTTTAAACTGAATTTTTGGTCCAAATGATCCGATCCGTTGAAGAAATGTATACGTTTTGATGAATAATATTTCTGGATTCATTTCACAATCGTATTCATATTCAGCTGAGTTACCAGAGAGATGTGTTCAACGAAAATTTTCAGCTGAGCCAGACTTGAACTTGTTGATAACAGATACTGATGATGACGGTAGTGATGACGGATTTGTTGATAAGACGGATGAAAGTGGAATGGGAGTGGTACGTGTTTCACCAACTGAACGCACCGTGTTCGGTACATTGGAAGCGGAGAGTCCAGAGCCTGATCAAAACGATGTTATAACAACACCACCACCCAACATCCCGAACAATCAACCGGTCACTGAAGCACCACATTCTCAGCAATCTGTTACCGTTGTGAGTATATTGAATCTTTTTTGATGTTTGTTTATAAAAATTGTGTTTCAGTCATTCAGAAAAGTTGTTGTTTTAGACTATGTAAATAGTCGTCATCGATTCATTAGATGTTTAGTACGTTCCAATTAAATGAGTAAAATATCACTGTTGTTGGTGTGTGAAGGTGCATGATTGTTATTTGTTGAAAGGAAATGTACGGGAATCAAGGGAAGCGTGACCACTGAATTCAGTATTACAAGTGGCAAAATTGTGGAAGCAAAGTTTTTTAATATGCCCAAGTGATATATAATTCTGATGCTTAGTCGGTGAATGAACCAAAGTAGTCATTTGATCGAAGCTGAGCGATTTGAATCACTAGACGTATGCAGGAGTGAGTTCATAAGTGCGATACGATAGCGCGTACGTGGAGATTGATTGATTTNCACCACACCAAGCATACTGAAGAAATCTCGTTGTTCAGACACCGAATCACCGTTCACCACAAGTGAAAAGAAGGTATTCGAGTGTTCTGTTGATTCTAATTGCTCATAATGCTATACTGGATAATTCATTATTTCACATTTTCATCCTCAACGTAGTTCATCATTTTGTTTTTCTTATTGCACAGTCGACTGCATCAGCTTTCGTTCAACGGTTAATGGATCAGTGGGAAGTTTTTTGAATGAATTCCCAACTTCAAATCAGTTGCGTAATTTATCTTAAATAGTCAGTACATGATAGTAATTGAAATTTTGGATTAGGATTGGAGAAGCGGAATACAGAGCAACTTTATTTGGAGTTCTGATTTCAGGTGCGCAGAGTTCATTTTGATGTATCGCAAATTGATGGTGAACCAGAAACAGAGGCAACTCGCAGTAGCAGCAGAAGACGTTTTCGACGACGTCCTGCCGCATCTTTATTCCATACTGCTCAGGTTTCTGATTCAGTTTCTTTATTTCCGGCTTAAAAATGAATGCTTTGATCAGTTATTGAATANNATAGATACCGTTTCTATCATGAAAAATAAAGAACTGTGGAATGCCAATTAGAAAGAGATGATGGGATTTCGATGTTTTGAGAAAGGACGATTGTAATTTGAAAGTAATATTTTCCATTTTCGCAGGAGAAAGCTTCCTCTCAACAAGCACCCTCAAATGTGTCATCGCCATCTCCTTCACGAGGTTTGTCGTTGCCAACCAACGGTACTGTATGCACCACCAAAGCTGCGATCTTTCCAGCGTTGATGGACTGCTCTGATCCTATTCCACCGCAAATGTTCTTCAAGCTTGGCGGACCTTGGTAAGGTCATTTTATTATTTTTGGTTGTGCATGTGATAAATATCAACGCAGGAGAAGGTTTGCACAGCATAGAGAAACATGGAACTGGATAGGTCGGTGTTCCCGTAGAAAACGAAGAAAGTAATCGCAAGGTAATATGATAAATAGTAACAAGGTGAATGTTGCATCAGCACTGATTCGCTGTTTCGATTGGTGTTTCTTTAGTGGATATATACTTAGTTTGGTGTTTACGTTACTAGATGACTGGAAGTTTGATTCGTTGCAGCGGTTTTCAAGTACGAAACGCTTTCAAAGCGCTTGGTATCTCGACGATTGGCGATTTGGCGCGACTGAATGAAGGTGAAACTCATTTGTTGTCTGTTCGAAAGCCGCAATCCGGTACAATTCGATCAGCGTTACAGGATTACTTCGCATCGTCATCTTCGTCCCAAACAACTGCTGTTGATGATTGGAAAATCACTGTGAGTGTTTTACGATTGAAACGCTCTCACGATTTTGCTTATTTTGTAACTTTTTTCTTGTTTGTGACGGTCAAAAACTCATTTTGAAGAGTCTTTTTATAATACTTGCTGTTAGTTCAATTTGAATTTAGAGATAAAATTTTGTACTTGAAGTCGAACTGTTTTGTTATTCAATTAGATGTGTTCAGTTCTTATTATTTTATTATTGTATTGCAATTGAGATGATTTTGGTGTAGTGATAAAAATTAAATTTTCTCGAGCAGATGAACGATTTTGTTCAAAGTTAAAAATCAGCTGAGTTCATTTGTATTTGCTGAGCAAAGCTGCAATGCAGGTTGTTCATCTAGTAGCATTTTGCTCAACCAGAAATGTGTTCATCTATGATCATGTTTACTCTAACGTTTTAAATTCAGGATGGTATAAGTGAAACGGTGGTTGGAAAAGAGGTGGACGATAGTGACGAACGGAAGCCTTTCCAGCTATCTGCAGAAACACTCAAAATGGTCGAACCGATCATCCTTTGTGGCGAATCTTCGGAAGCAGTTGGCGACTCCAATCTAGGTGATCATCAGTCACCAACAGATGAGACTGAATCAAGCAGCGAATCGACTGAAAACGCATCCGCCGAAATTCTATCGTCTCAAGAAGATTTGCAGCAGCAAACTGCGCAAGAAGAATCGCAAAGAAGACTCGAGATTTTGTCCGAACTCGTAATGCTTAATGCTGGGCATGATTGTTCCGTTCCATCAAAAGCTGTTCAAAGCATCGAGGAAGATGATGATGATCTTCAATTGATCAATATAGAAGAGTTGGAAGGTGCAATCAGCAAAGAGCAACTGGCAAATGAACGCCCGATCGAGAATGATTCCACTGAAAATGCTCAATTGAGAACGCAGTCGCCGCCAGCGAGTGACACTCCTAAACAGTCCGGTGAACACCAAGAACAGCAGTCAAAATCGTTGCTTTTGACTGCTCTTCGAAACAGAAATGAAGACGATACAGAAATACAAGTGTCGTTGGATGATAGCAGTAATTTCCTAGCATCCAATGAGGGCATTAGTCAAGTTGGCGATAGTAATGTTGAGGTGGGTAGCGGGGAAAATGTTTTGAGTAGAGCGATTACGAGAGATGATGAATTGGTGCAGAGGGAAGATTTGGAAAAGAAAAGCGATTCATTGAAAAATGAAACTGAAAAGTGTGTCGAAAAGGAGACAAAGACCCAGCAAAGTGAGGAGATTAGTGCAGAGATACTGCTGTCTGATCAACAAAATAGGCCATCTGTTTCATCTGCAAACGCAAATCTCAATGAGACTCCAAAGAATCAGCCAATTCAAACAAGCAATGATATTGGCGACAGTGCAAACAGTGCTATTCAAGAGAATACAGATCAAACTGTTGCTACTGGTCTAGGTGAAGGTGGTGAGAATGTATCGCAATTGGCCACAACATCTGGACAGCAAGTTCCAGTCTCTAAGCGTAAGTGCCTTTTGCGTTTCACTTTTGACTTCTGTCTAAAAACATGTTGTTGTCTAAAAATATGTTGTGGAATATTGCAGAGCAAGATGTATGGAATGAAGCATGGCAAGCATTTGAACAGATATCAGCTCTCATCCAACGTCCATCTGACCCATTGACCTCAACTAAACCCTCTTCCGAACAGCTGTTCGCTATCAACAAAAAGCTCTCACTCGCTCAAACTTTGCTTCTGGCCAAGAAAGCCGAACTGGACAGACTCTTATTTGATGGGTATTATCCGCAGAAGTAATATTCTAATCGCTCGCTCTCTTATAATCTATCCTTTTAATGTGTTCATAAACGTCGATTAAATGTTTGAAGAATTGAACAAATCTCTGCAAAGCATTCTCATGTACAATTATATTATGTGAACGGTCATCAGTGGTGAATACCCACAGGAAACTGTCGTTTGAAATACTGAGTTACGTCTAAAAATGACGATTTTTTGAATTATTAACTCCATAATCGATAGCGACATGTAATTTCTTTTTAATTTGCAAAGTAAGGCACTGCTTGAAGATACACGTTTGTGTGTTGTACTGAGACTTATAGAAATAATATTCTTTTTTTTCGTTTTTTTGTGCTGTCTGATAATTAATCAACACACCGAAATGGAACATGCGTTGCTGATGATCAATATTCACGCCAAATGTACTCTCCGAAAATTTCATTAAATTGTTCAGATTCTCATGTTGATTTCAGTATTTTTACAGTTATTGTTCACTTTCATCATTTGATTTGTCTTGATTTCTAAAGCACTGTTTTCAATTTGTTGTTGTTGTCGAATTAAGTACCTCGTTCGAGAGCATCTGGTTGCTCAGTTGTTATGCTGGTTGTAATTTCATTTTCCATTCACTTCCGAGTTTCTTTGCAATTTTCGTTTATTTTATTTTGTTGAAAAATGACTTTCGTTTCACCAAGCATTCAATTTGATATAATTCGTTTTGTTGATTTACCAAATTCACATTCTTAGCTTTATTATCTCAAAGGCTTTTCCCTCATTCGCTCTTGTATCTTCTATAAACTCTGCTGATCTGTAAATGTTGTTTTGCTTCATCGAGTCCACAACGAATAATTTTTGACTATAAATGAATCATTATTGGCTAACTGGTGTGTTTGTTTACACAGTTATTGCGGTGCTGATATTGCATTTTTGAAACAGTGTATTGACCCCGAAGCAGCCATGCCCATTCCTATTAGTATCAAAAGTTTTTGCGACACTTCAATTGACTATCAGAACAGAACATATGCGGTTGAACATTAATCGAATGATCGCAGAGGAATTTTTCTTCATTCAGAAACACTGTCAAACAAGACCTCACTCAATGCGTCTTAATTGAGAATGTCGTTTCCTAAGGTGATTTTGCATGCAGATCGCGGGTTCTCACTGAAGTTGGTATTGTTCACTGGGGTGAGCTAAAACGGTATGAGAATGGGTGGATCTGGCTGGCAAACGGCTGGATAGATCGATGAGGACAACTCATACTGGGCGATTTCAGTGCAGTCATACCAGTTGGTGTGCCTATCGTATAAAAAAGTTTGAGAACACAATGCGAGAGTTATGATCATTTGTTAGTGTCGAAAATGACCGTTATTTCGCTCACCACAACATGGCATTATTTAGAGATGAACGGTCAAAAGCGCCGAGCACGTGTTTGCATATGATAATGAAAAATGATCGCTAAGTATGACCGCTATCTGGCTGTAGCGTTTGGGCAAGGCATGCTATGCCCATTCCTAGGCCATACGTACGGTTTGATAGCCTCGTATCATTGTGGAGCGCATTCATGTGTGTTTTATTTCAATGATGAAAAATCTATTTTCATTTCACACTATGAATTGCTCATTACCGGTCGTGTTTGCAATCGTCATATCCGATGATGAAGTGCGCTCGCACACTTCAACGTAATTGTACCGGAACCAATGTGAGCAGTCATCGAATGAACGGTTGCTTAACAGTCACATCACATCCCTTATCAGTCACCTTCTGTACGCTTATCATCAGCTCCCTTATCAGACCCACTGTTGTTCTATGATCACGAATTTGTCGTTAAACCAGTTTCAATAGCAGCAATCACATGTATATCGTTGATTTCAATAGGCGAATGCGATTATGATTCGATTGACACGTGCGATGTAGTTCATTTCCTGTTCAATGCGCCATCGTATCATTGCACGTTTCGACTGGTTATCGTGTTTATCTTCGTCATTGCTTCAATTAATCTCATGCTGTCATTGTACATCGATTTGATACATTCAATATTTCATGGCTGTGATTAATCACAGTTTTATTAATTTCCTCTTGCCAGAAATGTTGAACTATCACGCAATTTATTAATTATGAGTTCTATGAATAGAACAGATCCTGTAACATGGCCTCGTTAATTTTATTGCGTTTCAGTATAAAAGTGAGTATATGTCTGTCTGTAATGTTCCGTTTCCGAGAGCTTATTGAAGATATTTTGGGATGGAATAGAGGAATGAAAGCACTTACTGATTCGATAGCGAGAGGTAGTTCGATGACGGTGACGATAATGACAGCAGTTCGGTTAGATGGAAGGCTTGCTTTGCGTAGAGTTGTCGCATTGAAGAGTATGCTTTATCGATGTTATCGCAGGTTATTGTTTTGTCATTCGGCAACTGCAAGTATGGGTGAATTAGGTTGGAACTGATCACATAATTTGTTTTGAAGAGTAGAAACGATTTGAAATGATCGCCAGGTCGAAGTATCAGTATTTTTCAAAACCTATGTAGTTAGCAAGAAAAAGAATGAATTGCTAGACGCTGTGAGCAAATTTTCATCATCTTTTTAAAAATGTACAACGTTATCATGAGCCGAAGAACGTTTTGTACGCTCAAAGCGGTATCGTTTCATTTTTGATTATGCTTTTTCATGGCACATCGTGTTTTATAACGTGTTTTATACCATTGCGTTCCTACAAGAAATGCTACTATTGAAACATATTTTTTCAAATGTGAATCCATAAATATAGGATCGATCAATTGTTCGATCTGTTATATTATAGTTATCTTTGCATTGCGAATTGCAAATTCTTTGCTGTCACTCGAAGTCAACACGAAATCGTGAATGCATGAGTTTGGAACTATCATTTGCTGAATTTTATGAAACAATCCCAATGATTACACAACTGCATCAGCAGGCTCTTCTAGACGGTTGGTTTATATCTAACGAAATATCAAAAGTAAGAGAATGTGCGAACAGATTCTGTTAAGTGAATGAAAAAATAATGAGTGAATCAAAAATCAAAACGACATTACAGTAGAACAAAGTTGAGTCAACGTCTTAACGTATTCGTCGAGAGTGCTGTTTTGCTGGGAAAGTAGTCGAATCTGTCTGAAATCAGTGAGATGTTTTTTTAAGGATGAGATTCTCGTCGACCGAGGTCGGATATCTTGACATATTTTCAATGGCAAGTTGACGATGGATGTTTTTTATTCAATGTTAGCTTGAATAGTATAATTGAATGTCTGTTTTAGTTAAATTAACCGTTTTGGTGTTATATTTCATTCACTGAAACTCTAAAACATTAATGCACTAGAGGCCATCAAAACTTGAGCGTTAAACATGACTCGAAGGAATAGTCGAAGGGTGTCGTCGAAAGTAAGTGTATAAGTGTTCAGAAAGGCTTTGCGAAACAGAAAGCCACATTAAGAGAGCTTCGTTTACTTTTCACGAACAATCTGCTGTGATTTCAGTCGATAGAGTTCTTTCGTTTCACTTTCATGTTCGCCATATACCACTGAAAAGCTGAAATCAAATTCTCAGCAAAATACTTTGAGTTGAACGTAATGCATTTGTTTACGCAGTGATGCATCACAATTCTTAAATTTTATGCATTAATGCCTTATTTGGGGAGACAAACGTCGTTTCTGAAAGAATTTCTGATGGTGTTGGTTGCAATCAACCGATAAATTTTTGAATTTTAATCGGGCCTCAATAATTCCAACCGTCAACAAAAATATAAAATGCGATTCTCCTTACAATACACAAACCCTCATGGTTTTCTCCAATTGTATAACCTAACGCATTAGCATTGCAGTAATTTTTGAATTTACAATGCGATTTCAAGCAGTTAAACTTTACGATTTGCTCCTCTTTGCTTCATGAACAGACAGATAACTCATATATCATTGATGAAATGTATTTGCCAAAAAGATGTTTAGAATATTCGAATATTTATCAGTACCATGCAAAATCGCTTAGTCCATCGTCCAGATGAGTGCCGCTTGTGGTATTCCATTGAGGTTGGAATGTTCTGAAGTAGTTTGTTGTGCTTGATAGTTTTGCTTGTATACGCGGTAATTGCAGTGACAGTTCATCGAATTTTTGTTTCTTTTCCACTTCCTGTACGAATGCTGCTTTGAGCTGATGTTGTAAATTAAACAACGCTATTTAAATGGTGCGAATATCGAAACTCGAAGAGCTTTTGCTTGATTAATCGACCAAATTCCAACGATTCATTCAAGTTCTTCTCACTCAATTTCCTGCCTTTAGATGGATATAACGGACGTTCAGCGATATTTTTTTTATTTCGAAGCGATCAAGCTAAAATGTTATTGCCAAATGGGGAATTGGCGATATGATGGTGTATTTCGCAGAACAAAGCCCCTGACTTCACGTCTGGTGGCATCCCACACTTTCTTTGTAAATGCCCACATTTTCGTTGTCAACCAGCAGTGTCGAATAACCTTTTTAAGTTTCTCCTCATTTTTGCATCGCCGTTCAATTTTGATCTTCGGTAGCGAAATCAAAGTCAACCTCCTTCCCGACCGTTTCCACAATGAACGTGGTGAAATTTGCGCATCTGCAAATTGATGTTCTCAGTACAACAGAAATGGTTTGCTGACTTTATACAACTTTTTATATCAGATGATAGATCAATTGTGTTCAATGAAATGGTGCAAATTTCAGTCGAAGAAAAATTGTTCAGTCGATGGCCCAAATGAGTTGTTGTTTGAATGTGTTTATAGACGGCAAGTAACGAAATAATGTTTTGTACGGTTTAACGATAGCACATTTCAAATTTATTCTGAACAAATAATTAGTGGATTACAGCAAATACAACTAAATTGCATTGCGATGCTTCACTAAGGTTATTAAAATGAACATTCGATAAAACAAAACTCACTGTTCATACTGGAACTGAGTGCATACGAGTAATTTGCGTTNGAAACTAATAAAACATTGATTTATGGGCATTAAATGTGGAAATTTGTTCACTGATGCATTATGGCTGCATGTCAAAATGGCTGTTCAGTCGCCAAATTCTTAGATATGCTATTATGTAATTCATGCTTTGAATGTGTGCATATAATAAACTGATGGTGAAACTCGTAACACATTTAATGCTTTCGTAATGGCAAGTGACTACTCATTGGTTCGTTTTGGTTTTACTTGCAAGAACATGAGTTAAATACAGCCAACTTAGAATGAATGATGGTGATGCATGAGAAATGATCTAATTGGATTACTTAGTTGTTTAGGATAACCTTGATGAGAATGACTTCAACTGACACGAAAGACGGACAGATGTGTTTGGCTTGGGAGAGGCTTGTGAAGTTATATCCTAATATGTAATTAATTGCTCGTAATTTCTAGTTATTCTGAACTGTGACCAACATTCATTTTATTTAACATCCAGGATCAAAATCACATGATAGAGAATTTGAAAAGGTGAAAAATGTTCCATATCATATCGCTAGGCGATAATATCTGTGGCGAAATTAATGGTTTATTAAATGAATAATTCATCTGTAGTAAATTGGATGCATAAATCAGTTTGATGAATGTGTTCGATGCCGAAAATAGAGACATCTCAAGAAAGGATTCGATACGATAATGGTGTCAATAATGATATTTTGTTGATATTGCTGCAGATATACACAGATCATGAGTGATTAGTTGCATATTGTTTGGTTGATTGATGCATTATTCGTCTTATTCTGTTGAATTGATATGCGTTCATCATACTCGATAACGGGTTGGTTGATACACTGATAAGATTTGTGCGTTTCGTTCAGGCGCCTGCATTCTTTCTTTCCATATCCCATTCTCCGTTATGTCGATTTCGCGTCTTCTTATCAGTTCATTATTTCTATTAACATAAATAATCTTGTCCTAAGTATGTCCGTTTGAACCGTCCATGCTCTGATAGTGAGTGACCTCGTTTTACTTTCACAATTCCAAAATATCAGTCATTTAAAAGCACTCACTCAACAATTGCTCTATCAAATTTTCACTTTTCTCACTAGATGAATAATTCCACCGAGCAGTCGAGCAGCTTAAAATTTGTATTGTATATTTACCTGCATAAAGCGATTACACCTATCACATCGGATGCCTGATGATGATTTTTTATTTTTCTGCAGTCCTGTTTCTGCGAAACCAGTCTTTGGTTTGTACTCACGTAGTTACAACTCGTTTCGCAATTTTCCTATTTCCCAAATCTCTCTTCAGAGTACCGTTGTTAAGTTTATCTTGATCAGTATCTGCACTGCACGTTTCACCTCACTGTTCAGTTGAATGCTGGATGAATGCTACTCAGCAAAATTATCTCGGATACGTTGAATGCAATTCGTTTGATCATTTCTTATAATCAACGCTATTTTTCTTTCCAATTACTCGTTACGTCCGTTCATACACTGAACACGGTTCATCGTTTTTGTTTTCGAAAAGTGTAATGATTTTATCACAAAATAAACAAGGTAAAAATCTCACTCACTCCATTCAGTGAGCAATCTTACTCCAGCGCTCAACTGCTTGATCGCCAGTTTGCAAGAACCGTCGAATGATGTGTTCTGTGTTTTATCCGCTATAAAACAAGTATGAAAAGATTTTCGTTTTTTGCTACACATCCATGATTTTTTTCGTTTTATTATGAAGTCTAATGAGTTTTCTTCTAATATTTCAATCCAGTGTACGATTCATTTCAAAGTTTCACAATCCGATCCGGCACCGTTTGTTGGTTAGGATAAAATTGTGATTTTGAACAAGTATTGGGCAAAATGCGCAGATGCGTGTTGTGTGCATGTGCGCATTTTGGTTATGATTAGCTCAATTGGGAAGGGTTGCAAACATCTGTGTGTTTGTGTTTGTATTGTAGAGTCACGTCAAAAAGAGCATGCAACACGAATGAATCTTCTCTGGTTTAGATTATCCAACGACACATAATCACTACATTCGTTTATCCATTTAACAGCTATTATAGCANTGTCTCATTTCTTGTCTTTCTGCAAACCACCACACGAATTTACTATATACCGTCGTCGCATCATTCATTCTGCAACGATATCTCTTTACATTTGCCTGACTTGCATTCATTAAGGGTGATTGCTGGTCCACTTCTTACCATTGACTTGTCGGTGACCATTGCTTAAAAGTATATTTTCTGCTTGTGCTATTTTCAAAATCACATTAGGTTTATGAAGTTTCATTTCCAATTATGGAATCAATTCATCGTGTTTTGGACGATGCTTTCGTTGAATCTTATCCGAGGTATCCAAACGAAACTTATGATGAAGTGGGCAGTTGTTCTGCTGCGATATGAAAAGCACCGTTGCGCCTCAAATATATTCATACAATAATGATTGCGAATGAATCTTCACGCTGCATTGGAGCTCAAATTTTTGTTCAGTTCACTCGAATGAATTTTTTCCATTGTTTGGATTCTAGTTTTATTGATTGTGATTGTGTGTGTTGCAAACGATGAATATTATACGAGCAATCAAATTGATACAACAAGTAATTAGGGTATATTATATATTGTGTAGCGCATCTGCGTTCGGTTCGGAATTCAGCAGATAAATCAACGACCGCTTTATAATTGCGCTTCATGATTTCATGCCAGCATTCCTCTACTAAATCAAAAATGGAAACGTTTTCCGCAGATGTTTCGAATTGCTGAAGGTCGCTCTATTGCATGGTGTTATCCTATCGAATGCGTGCATTGGCTAATATCAGTATTCGGTATGAGTTGTTATCAAGCAAGTTAAGTAAATAATGTTTGATTGCTTCCCAAAAGGAACCGACTTTTGAAATGTCGTTAACGATTCTAGCTTTTGCTTATTGTTAGCTCATTATGGGTTCTCTTGTTGCTGTTAATGTTGAGCGATTGCTGCAAAAATGCAGCTTACAATCACACTCATCGATGTAGTCGAGTTGATTTGTTTCATCTGATGAGGAATTCTTTTTTTTGCTGATTCAGTTGAAGAGATATTTGATAAATTAAACGTATAACAGACTGAACGAACAACAGCCATTTGTAATGCGAATGTAATCGTTTATCATTCTTCATTGTTAAAATGCAATCGCCGAGTTCGATTCGTTCGTTCGTTCGTTTTACTTTGCCGTCATCGGCATTTGTTCGTTTTTCGTTGATGTTCCTTGAATGCAAAATGAAACAATAACAACAACAACTGTCCTCAAAAGAAATGAGTAATATTTTGTATCAATTTGCACCCAATAGAAAGAACATTTTTGTAATAATGCGTAGAGTATAATGGGATATGTTGAGCAATTGATGCTGAAAGGTTTTTGTATTCGAATTGCGTTATTTTTGTTGTGGAAAGCAATGATGACGATAAAATGATGTATGTGGATGGAAGATAATCGTCGTCACGTTTTAGTGATGCGAACGTTGCATGATCTGAATGAACAACGACGTGATTTATTGCAATAGTGCTTGCTTGCGTTCAGTGCATAGTTTCATAATTGTGCATTTGTTATGGTACTGAACGTTATCGCTTTTAGCAAAATCATTAACTTTGATGAATTCGCCGATACAATGAATATTACTGCTTTCATCAATCGGTCTTACAGATGTGCAGCAAATTCAAATCAATCATCGAGTACACATTTCATTCGCATTGTTAACAATTATTTTTAATGATGCTACATTTATGTAGTATTTGTGCATCATCTGATGCTCCCTCCCTCCCTCGATCAATTACGAACAAAATCACGCAATTAATCACCCGTTGCATCATTATCTATTCACATCCTCGAGGAGAGAAGAGTGGTACTATGAGCTGAACCTGCAGGCGATAACTTTGTAGAAGTTTTTGAGAGATAGTCTTCGTTCGAAATTTACGGAAGAATGATCAGTCAAAACGGGTGTAAAATTCTGTAAAGAATAATCACTCTTGAATGATATCAACTCTAATTGCAGCATCTCATTTAGAGGATACTCTAACAATAGCAGTATTATGCGTAATCTGGAACCGTGAGTAGCTGAAATCACCACTGACATTGAGGAGTAACGTTAAGCATTTAGAATCAACAGATTGCGAACTACACGCAATTTTCCACCAAAACACAAGCCATTAGCCATTTACTGAGCCAAAGTGCTATTTTGAATATGATAGATATCATGTAATACTTGCAAATGTTCATGACGATTGTCATGAAGCGTGAATATGCTTTTTTGATATTTCACGTGTTGATTTAGACTATTTGTACAGTTCAGTGTACAAATGAATATTGTATCGGCGTATTGTGTTACATTAATGTACATATTCCATGGTTTAAATGGTATGGCATATAGAAGTAAAATAAGTATACAAAGGTCATCGCGCGAGATCGGATAAAAAGTAAAGCGTTGCACTCGGAACACTCTTCTTGGGTCACTAACCTCATTGTTCATTGTTTATCCATCATTGTGCTGCACTTCAAAGTTTGACGAACTAACGGATAGAGGATGGGTGGATAATGCGCGGACGAACGTTGTTTTAATTGCCTCATTCGTGAGTGGTGAAACTTAGTGGCGATGTCGATGCCAAAATAGTGATGCTTATTAAATTATTATGCGTTGTGTATGCACTTTGTTCAATTGTCAGTCGGCGTTGTTATGAAGAAGGGAACAACATAAAACTATAATAGTTCTTTTATTCATCATTTGACAAGCTTTGCAAATTTATGCAATTTATAATCAAAAAGTAATCATCTTTCAAACGTGTTTTTAATTCCACTTAACCACATTCAACGTCTGTCTGTTCACTGCAAAACGCAAACCAATCCCGAGGTAATTGCTGATGAGAGAAGTGATCGACAAGAAAAAGCTGATCGAATGCTGCTATGAACAAGGAAACTATTATACTACTATTACTTGTTTTTCATCTCATTTCCTCAATCGCGAAAA